GACCACCTGCACATAAAAATTAGGTTTCCTGTACTTATGGAGTTAGTCATCCTGTGCGTGACTGCAATTTGATGGTCCATAGCAAGCTATTTATGCTGTGCCTTACTAGAGAGAATACCGATTAACAAGGATATTTTTTTTTTCAGTTCTCAAAAATCAAAAATAGATAAATAGGTAAAGCTATTTTAATCAAAATAGCACTATCCTTTTCCCTCACTTTGCCCTTCCTAAATTATAGGCAGCTATTTTAACCATCGAACACATCACTCTTCCTACCAAGCGTGGGTGATACTAAACAGACCAACCATAAGCTTTCTTTTTCCCTCCAAACTGAGTACCTAACACTTCTTTCTTTATAAAGATCCTTGGAATTATTCATCAGTCCTTGATGAGCAGTATTTCCAATATCTTGGTTTTGTATTAGAATAAAGTTTGTTTTTTCCTTTCTGCACTTTTTATTAGCCATTCTATTTGCCTCTCCTCTGTAACTGATGTTCACTGCAAGTCACTATCTTCGCAGAAAAGTCTGTCATCTCTTTTTGCTCTAAAACCAAGCTACTGCTTCATAATAGGAAAATCCACCCTTTTTCCACCACTTACCTAGTCAGCTATCTCACTTTTATCATCATCTGCCTTTGTCCTCATTGGTTCACCAGCAGGAGAAGTGTCAGAAGACCACCTGGACCTCCCAAACACTGTGCACCTGCCTTTTGTTCATTTATACATTACTGTGTTCCAATTGCCTTGGTGTAAATTCCCTCAGAATGAGTTTGTCTGCCTTGGATTGCTAAAGATCTTTACAGACATGAAATCTGCAGGTTAACAACTTGATGGTAATTGGATATAGTCCTAAATACACAGCACTCTTCCCATACCACCCCTTCCCTACAAATCAAAAGCAACTCATTCTTCTTGCTTTCTGTGTACAAGGCTTCTTTGGCCTGAACTTGTTGCAGGCTGACTAGCTGCAAACTAGCCTGCTGCATTTTCTGCTCTTACTTAATGACAGCCAGTATTTCTCACACTGATGTGGAGTTCTATAATACACCAGTCTGTGCAGCTCTCCACACCATTGTTGTATGACCCTCCAGAGATAGTAACACTACTGGAAGAAATCTGTACTTCATATAAACTTGTGCAATTAAATCTGTAAACTTGTACAATTTGTACTTCATATGAAAGAAAGTATTTTGTCAGAAAAACTAACTATGCCACATCCATTACGGCTCCCCACAGTTGCTTAAGACATCACTGGAAGTAAAGCATTTTACTAGCCATTTCTGCATTGTCATCATTTCTTCCAGTTAGCAGGAAAAAATACTTTCATATTGTAATGGATACAATTGCATCACTAAGGCAATGAGGTCTGTGAGTGACATAGAAGCCACATCTTAACTGAAGAAATAGGCACAGGCATTCTTGAACCAACAAACTGCGCCGGCCAAGACCTTCAAAGACAACTGTCAAAAGGAAGTTTGCTCACGTAAATTAGCACTTAATTCTGTCTCCACCGAACAATGTAGCTGGGAAAGAAGACGAGAGAAGAAAGAGGAAGAGGAAGACAGAATGCGCCATGCTATTTAAGTAAGTTAGAAGTATCCTCTACATACTTTTCCTCTGAAACCACCGCACACATTTATGGCACTGTATAAGAAGTTTTTTATTTGCTAGTTGCTGAATTGACAAATAGGATTCAAGAACTGCTTATGCAATGCAAGAGGGTGTTTCCCAATACCTAGCCTTTGCACATAATTAAACGTATTTGCCTAGATGCAGTCAGGATGAACACCGTTTCCCTTAGAATATCCAATTCTGGCTATGTGACAAGCAGGAAGCTTATCACACAAGCCAACCCTCTGATAACCTAATCTTGTTTTAGACAGACTCTGTTAGCAGTGCACACATTTCAAGTGACAAACTAACTACTTTCCTTCACAAGTCCTTAAAATAAAATAACATTCAGCAAGGCAGTCTAAAATATTTTAATGTTGAAATGCCGATGGGCCTGAGAACCATTTCACCTATTGAGACAGCTTGTCCATACCTCTTCTGCACTACAGGGAACACCAAGCTGACAGAACAACAGGTTCCCAAAGCGCATTGCCAACATCTCGTGCTGACTGGATTAACCTTCATAGCTGAACCACCTGAGGTAAGTTTGAGCTGGCACTTCATGCCAGAACTTGTCAACAGGACTAGGAAGGGGGAGATTTGGGCCAGCATTTATTGCTACCAAGAGAAATGAATCAGCAAGTCCAGAGGGCTCACAGAGTAAATATGCAAACCAGAGCTTACGTAATAAGCTTGGAACATTTCCAAAACCTATTGAAATAAAGGAGCCACAAGAATACCAGGGGATGGGATACAGGGGGTCCTGTGGAAGTCTTGGTGGCAAGACAATGAAATAGGATTTTCCTTAACTGACTCTAATTACATATAGCTTCAAAACGGTCTCCTTGAATAATGCATAGTCAGAAGACCAAATACGCAATATGGCTCCGTTGCAAAAGAAGCTGCAACACTCCGTACAAGCGAAGATTTCAGGGACTTGTCATATTCACCTATTAGACAGAGTATGGATTACAAAAAGAAAAAAAAATCTGAAAAATTTAATATTTAACATTTGGTCTTAAGTTTCTTTCATATATTTCAGCTATACACAAGTAAGAACTCATTTACGGTCTGTATGTTCACCATGTATTTCAGTACCTGTAAATATACATTGATTAATTACCTTCACATTTGACCTAAGCATTTAGCAGTGTGCTCACTGTAGATTTAGCAGCTTCACAAATTATGGCACCTTTTCTGGAAAACTACTCATTACAAGACTTTGCGAAGCTGGAGAACACACACTCAACTGGCATTAAGAAGCCTCTATCCAAGAGGATCACAAAACATCAGAAACACTTACTAGGTCTCTTGTGATACCTACAGTCAATACTTCATCATAACATACTTTACAATTCAGCTATTCAAGATCTGCCTGCAGCCACAAGCCTATCACAAAGCCAGCATTTGCTTCCCAATTCTGTTCTTTTTAGCTAGTAGAGATTTTCTTCCCCCAATAAAGGCTCATTCATCAAGTCTGCCAATGAGCCACCAGTTAGGAGTGAAAAAGGGACTAGGCATGAAATAAGAGCAAACTACTGCAAAGCAACAAAAAAAATAAAAGTCTACATTAATCATTCCATTTGAATTATCTTAGTAAGACTTAATAAGTGTTTCAATGTGAAAACAAGTAGATCCACAATAAAACTGGGATTATTGCAACAACATTGCAATTCAACATAAAATTATTCTCAACATTCAAACACGTGTATCAGCCTATTCTGTTATACATATTAGGGAATGTTATTGAACAATATGAATAACAAAGGAAAGTACCCTTTCCAAATCCAAGCCAGGTACTATTGCCTGAGCTCCCTGCTTTGTTACTGTTAGCTTGGCAGCAAATAGGACAGTGATAGCTTATTAGAAGTCTCAGCCTATCCACATGATAAAATCACTTCTCTTTTGTGATGAGTTCTTCTCGGTATCACTCACTAGTCAGAGAACTGTGAAAGAAGTCTCAAAAGCTTAATAGAGAAAAATGGCACTTTATCCGATCCTCTATAACCAAGGATCTATAGAAACAATAATTCTGAAGCCCTCACACAAAGTATCAAGTGCTTTTAATAAATATAATTAGGATTCTCCTCTCAAAAAAATAAAATCTGCTCCTCAAAATAAATATTCTTGCCTTTCCTCTTTACTAACCTTTTTTATTAAAACCCACTCTTTTCCCACAAACTCATTTTCAAGCAAAAGTTCCAACACTTGTACTATCTTTTCATAATGGTTTCTAATTTAAATCTCATAAGGCACCTCAATTTCCAGGCACATCATTTCTACAATACTATAAAGCATTTGAAACAATATTTCTGCTATTAAAATATTTCCCCTCTCAAAAGTCAAACATTTTCTGTGGATAGTTACAAATATTTGTGAGTGTATTCTACCTACATTCTTGAATCAAGAGCAAGAGATGGAGAGAGCAGAGTGAAAAATGCATTTGCACAATGGTCCTAATTAGGACTAAGACAGTATACGATGATCAAACTTATCCTACTGGAGATCCTACTCAAGTATATTAAGATCAGAACATACTGTGATCTAGTAAAGAACTTTGTGGCGCTTCAGTTAAGCACTGACTTACTGAAAAAGCACCATATCCTTCTGGTTATATTGTCCCTATAGTTCTTTAGGAGGAGCTATGTGCATCTGCTGTTGAATTATGGGATTAAGAAGTTTAAACAAAAAACAAAAAAACCCCAACCACCAAATATCTTCAGTCTCAGCCCCCCCAAAACGTACCACTAACATTGTAACAAGCATACAGAACCAAAACAGTACCTGCTTGCAACTAAAAAAAAAAAAGCCACCGCACCCCCCCAAACCAAACAATAAACCCAAAACAACACCCCACTCGTATTAACCTTTCTCTAGACAGGATAACAGCATTCCAGTTAGCATATCCAGAGCAGAAGTATTTGTTTGAAACTGCTTTTAATTTTTTGCATAGAGCTACCTGAATATATTATCGTGAAATGGGTTACTGCCTTGCATACATTATGTAGCATTCAAAGTATGCTGCAACAATGCAGAAAATTATAGCAGAGGCAATGAAAGCCAGGTTGCCTATACACAAGTGCTCACACAGAGCCATATCAACATGTTAAAACCACAGACACGCAGACCATGTTCTGTGACCCAAGTGCGACAGACCATGCCACTGCACTGAGTATCGCTAGCGCTTCTTGCCAGAAAGCAACCACAATTCTTACGCATCTTCCCTACAAGTACTGTAATACAAACTCAGCACTTAAAAGTTTGTCATTCTTACACGTGGAGGATGAGAGACGATGTTATTAGCACATTGTACAGTAACTGAAACAGTAAGTGCACCCAAAATATCTCTTTCCTCTTATCTTCTTCAAAACATCTGGACAGTCACCTACCTAAATCACTCCACCACTGCCAATTCACACCATAGGAGACTGAATCAGTTTCTGAACTTGGACCACAGAATCACCAGGATGCAGAACAGAGTTTATTAAACCATCCACATGGTATCTGTGAAAAAGAATTAAGAAGTGTTTTCAAGATCATGGGTATAAGGGGCCTTGCACAAAAACTAAGACAGTTTCAAATCCACACACAAACTTTGTTTTACACCAGAATTCAACACAGAAGAGGTAATATGTAACTTACCACCACAACCACCATTCTACAGTTACTCATTTTTGTCCTCTGCCAAATCTTGAAGTAATGCAAACAGAGAAAGCAGTGTGCCAACACACAAAAAAGGTGCAACTGATTATCATCTCATCCTTCTATGCCAGCCAAAACCAAACCATATGCACTGCTAGCAAGCTTGAGTACAAAACAGATCCCTTTCTGTTCCTTGTATGAATGGAGTTTTAATGCAATTATCAGGTTGACAAAATGTTACCAAAACCAACAAGAAGTTATGTGCAGGACCTCAACTGGATGACGACTTCTTAAAGCACTGCTGTTCCGGTCAGTCTCAAGCACGTGCTCTGAAAGAGAATCTATACCACCCACACTGTCACAAATACTCCCACAGCCCTCACGGGGAAATACAACTCCTTGCAACAGATGAGGCTTTAAAAACATTGCAATTAGTTTAATTGGACCTGCCAGCTGCCTTTCAGTTAGCTTAACATAAGGTTTTATTGAAAGTCTGCAGGCACAGCCATTGGCAAGAGTGGAGACACTTGCTTACCAGTAGTTGGACTTATTTCTGAGAAGTGTACTCTGCCTGGTGAGCTTTTGTGGAGTACTGCCATATAATCTATATGTTGAGGATAAAAATTTTTATTATGTGGTCCTGGCTAGTAGGCTGGAATAATGCAGTAAGTCTAAGATGTATATGGAACACACCCATAGCCTCATCTTGATGACATTTGTTGGGGCCAGTTCAAATAAGGTGCCAAAATACGGAGGAAAGAGAGGGCAATAAATTACAAAAGAATGGTTTTGTCATCTGCTTTTAAAACAGCAAACACATCCCACACAGAAGAAAAAAAAAATATGTCTAATACATCTAGGTATCCAAGTTGATAAGTGGAATCTTTCCTGAAAGAAAAAGATTCTTCAGGAGATCAGATCCTGATTAGCATACTCTTTTCATAAAGCATCCAATATACAGATGCAAAACTGAGTTTCATGAGTCCTGAAGTTTCTAAGACAAAGAACAGCAACAGAATCATTACTGAAGTAACTGTTGCTGCCACTTCCAGAGCACTCTGTGAGACTTAGCAAACTCTAAAACCTCCACACCAATACAACTGTTTAACAGATCTCAGCTACCTTTTCCAAAACGCTGCTGGTGTCATCTCCCCATGGTGCCATGGCCAGTACAGCTAGAAACTCTGAAGGGTGCCAGGGTTGATGACTGCACTGCTACTTTCCTGGCTTGCTCAAGAATAAAAACTTTGGGTTGCTGTCCCTTACAGTGGTGGCTCTGGAACTTTCCTTCTGAAATTTTCCTACTGCTTTCCCACCTACAGCCAAAATTTTTGTATCACTAAAAATACTAACGTAAGTATCGTATTAAATCAAGTTTGTATCTGCACAGCAAATCCCTGAATACACACCCCATTTAGGAACTGCTGCTCTATGATGTAAAGACTGAAACAGCTTTCTTGGCTCTTAACTAACAAGAGCTGAGTAACTTCCCTCTCCCTTGTCTTTCGGTCTTCCACAGAAGGTTAAACTTTCAGTTCAATTTGAGCTTTAAGTGGTATCATTACAGATAGACACCGGACTGTTGAACGTGCTGACTCCTCCAGATTACACGTCTGAGTTTGTGACTAGCTCTAGCCAGTCTCGAATTCTGTGGTACCCTCCATTAGTGCTTCAATCACTGACCCTTCCACCATATCCCAGGTAAAAAGAAAAAGAATACAGCAACTGTAGGGCTACATAAACAATAGACAATTGCACAGATCATTACATAAAAGATGATTATCTAAGCATTAACTAAGGGCTGCAAAAGAGGATTGGAACACTCCTCCATCCTCCGTCCTCTCCCCCTACTGACAAATAAGATGTTGTTACAGAACCTCAAGAGATATTTATCAGTCTAACTCCACTGGCCATTGCAATACAGTTCCCGTGACCATTAACCACCTTCTTGTTACTAAGTCAAAAAGTCAAGAGTTCTTTTTTTCTTAATAAAAAATTCACTACCCCGGCATACATGCTACAAGTGCTCAGTGTTAAGCTAGACCCCAGAAGTTAAGGGCTGGGGAGGAGCATTTTACACATATTTAGAAGAAAGATCTTTTGCTCTGGCACTTCTTTCCCCAATTCAAGTTTTTCCCACAACACGATAATTTAGAAATTAAGTAGAACTAAGGCTACAGGTTACTCCTAGCTTTTTGGTTTTCACATACTCCTGTTTTTTAATTAACACACATGCTGCCTAATTAACACCAAGAACCAATTCCAACTCAAAGCCCTGATGGGCAGGCCACTGTATAAAAAAGCACCCATATTACATTTGAGTAATAAACTAATTTCAGAAGCTATGAACAACCAGACTTCTCAGAACTAGATAGGTTTGTGCTGTTGAATGCACAAAATCATCCCTTGCAGACAACATCTGACAAAGAACAAGTATTTTTCTGACTGCAAAGCCAAGTATGAGAACAATCAACTTGGATTTTACTCCACTGCCACACTTGTGAAAACCATGCTGCATTTCAAAGTTGTGAATTAAAAACCAGAAGAAAATGTTTCCACTGTACTCTGTTTCTGGTCCTCTGTTACGGTTGCTCCTTTTTTCAACAGCTCTACCACATGAAAGATCAGGGTCTGCCTAGCCATTATTAAGTTTTGTTTAGCTATTGCAAAAAAGAAGGTGGCGTTAGTACTGGTATCAAGCACTTCAGAGTTTGAAAGAATGAATCCTAGAGCCCATGCTTAAATCTGTAGTAATATTACATTATAATCCAAGTCCATCTATCACTTTGAGTGGATTTACTGGAGGAAGACACCAGATGGAACAGCATAATGGACACCCATTTCATTACAAATTCCACACAAAGCCAAGAAGCATCATCACACTACTACCTTAGCAATATAAGTGCAATTGCTGGTAGCAGTGAGCAATGAAAAGGATCACTTAAAGCACCAAAATTGATTCGAAATATACCATTAATCAAGTTTTAATAACGTCAAAAAGACTATTTGAGATATTCCTTAGTCAGTTCTACTGCATCAGTAGATCTATGTATAAAACCTTTCATTTTGCTTTCACAAGGAACAGGAAAAACAATTCAATTACTACTACACGATTCTTCCCTTTCCATTTTCTTCATCTACCATGACAAAGTAAAAAAGGATATTTACATTTCTTTTAAGCATAGTTTAGCTGAATCCATAGTCCAAAATAAGGGAAAAGAGAAAAATATGAACTTATGAATTAATGAACACAATTACTAGGAGTGCACATACAAAATTTATAATTTAGCAGCTGCATTAATGCAATTGGGTATGAACAGAATAAACAAAACAAATGTTCTTCACAATTACTTTCTGAAAGCTACCAAATACTTTGTATATCAGATTTTTTTCCATTAAGTGGGACAAACAGAGGATGCATGTAATTACAGATCACACACCCAAATTAGCCTGTATTACAAGAAGTTGTTTTGACACATATTTACTCCACTCCTAAAAATCAGTAAAAAGTGCTTAAACGTACTTTACCACTATCCTTCAAAGTGGTAATAGATAATTTGGTTATACAGAAATCCAGTTTGCTGGAAGCTAGGGGATTGACAGGAGAGGGCATCAACTTGCAGGTACTTTGTGAGCTTAGGTACTTGCCATTAAGTAGCTGAACTGGTTTTTACACAACCTAAATACATAAATTTGACATTGGATCCTAGATTCTTCTCCAGATGAATGACTCGAGGGGAGGGGCAGGGAGGAAGGGAATCCTCTTCCACAGTGTATGTTAATCTCACTAAACTCAGCTTCACTACTGGCTGTAATTTCAGCATGCAAGACTCACAGTTCATATCTAAGCATCAGGACTGATACCAGAAAATTTATGATCTTAGCAGAGACAGTCAGTTCTATTTTGGATCTTAAAAATCAAGAGATCTTAAAATATCCATTTTCTCTCTTATTTCAAGATATACAGATATAAATATATATACATATACCTAAAAAGCAGTGTCCAACTTGCATTCTAATCACACAGAATAAATAAATGTAAAAATTTTTATACAGTTATCTTTCATGAACCTCTTCTGCCCAGTGTTTTAAGGCACAACAGATGCACTGAAACTAGACTCCAGTCTCTCAAAAGTCTCTCAGACTCTTCTCCAAAAGAAACAAGACTATCTACAGCACCCCCAAAAAAAAAAATCCACTTCATGTTTCAAGTGGGAAAAAAACAGAAGAAAGATAACTTGAAAAAAAAGTGAGTGCAGTTCATCATATTTCAATCAAATATTCACTTGGAGGGGGAGTGATGAATACAAACATGAAGTTATGCCAAAAAAAGATACACATGCCCTCAGGTTCAGAGTCAATTCCAATTTACCATGCTCTAGATCCTTATTACAGATAGACTCTCACAAATGAAGTAGACACACGAAGGAAACATGAAAAAATTATTTCATGTTCATTTGCAAGGTCAACAGACACTTCACTTTAATTCCTAAGTAGACCGTGAATCCATTTTTTAAGAAAAATCCTACTATATTTTGAACCTGAGGGGTGGTGGAAGGAAGGGGGTTCAGGGGGAAGGACTGCACCACATTTTATCTTATGAAACCAAATTTTGGTTTCACAAGATCAAATTTCAGTCCCAGAGAACTTAATATCATTACAGGAGTTCCTCCCAAGCATGCAGAGGATCACCATTCGGAAATTACCTTAAGGGAACAATTCACTATCTCCAGACCCTGCACAGGTTAGTTTTTCTTTCAAATTGTGTAGTACAAAGATTAACACATTAGCTATCTTCTCGAATATAACATTCAAAATAATCTGGGACTTAATATATTCTGTTGAGCTTTGTTTCCATCCTT